ATATATATACATATATATATATATACATATATATATATATATATATAAATATATATATATATATATACATGTATATATATATAAATATATATATATACATATATATACATATATATACATATATATACATATATATGTATATATGTATGTATGTACATAAAAGAGAATAGAAAATAAATAATATATAAGAGAGAAATCAGTCATTTATGTGGAAGACATCACTGAAAACCCTAAAATATCATTTTATCTTAAATGACTACCAATATTAATTGATGACTAAATCACCTCATTCGATAACAATATCTATAGGTGATTCTCATTCTCTTTTTAAACATATTTAGACCATCTTAGATGACTTCTCCTCATTACTTTTATTGGAGCATTTATGAATAAAAATATTCTTGTTTTATCTTTTGAGTAACTTTATATATCTACCACAACTTTCTCATATTAATTATACTTTTTTTTCCTAGCATTCAAAACCATAAAACATGGTTTATTTTTTTTCTAGCATTCAACTTTCTCATTTTGATACTTTAGTCATCCAATTTTTATTCTACAAAGAAATTTAAATTGTGATTGATCTTTTGATCCCACTGAATAATAAATATCCAAGATACCTAAAGAATTTCTTATCCATTAATCCATCTAAATGTGTCATTAATTTTTCCTTCGGTATAATCAAAATTATATTTCATACATTCGTTTTTTACTGTTAATATAAAATTTTCAGTTTTCAAAGTTTCATTATTATGTTATATGTTAATAAAATAAATGTGAATCCTTATTTATTTATTTATATTTATTTTCATTAATTATCTAAATAAGAAAATGGTTTCATTGATAGATTTTTAAGGCACAAAACCTTATTGTTTCTCGCAAATGCTCATTTTGAATTTTTTTCTACATTCTATCGTTCATTCTTAAAGTTTTGTAATGGAACTTATTATCTTAGTTTCATTGTAATTAATATCCTCTAATTCTTATAAATTCATCTCTTTTCTCAAATATTAGATATATTCTTAAAATTTAAATTAAATAATCGAGTCTAGCAAATTACCACTTGATCATGTTAACTCTTCCAAACATTAATAGACATAATATTAAATCCATCATCCTTACCTGTTTTTATCTTTAAAATTTTTTTTTACCTTATCTACTCTAGTTTTATGAATAAATAAATAAATTCTAAACTTATCGCTCTCGTCTATATTATACACAAAATATTTATTAAATAATTTATAAAATACCCTTTTTCATCTTTTATTGATCTTCATATCATTGACAAGTATTTTTCTTCATCTTTTATGAACTTAATGTTACCTATGTTTTCTCTAATTCTTTTCCTAGCTTTAGCAGTATAAAAATAATTGATGCCTATTCTTGGTACATATTATATCACAAATTTATTATGAGCTTTATATTATGCTCTACATTAGCACTTTTTTTTTTTTCAATTCACAATCTTATCAATGTTTAAAGTATGATTTTTATTAGTGATTGTTTCTAACCAAACTATCTGCTCTCTCTTGAAATTATACCTTTTATCTTAAATTCAATCAATAACATCATTATAATGCTCATGATCATTATCCTATTAATATTATCTCCTCTTCCTCCATCTTACTTTTAGGAAATTTTATATTACTGTCTTTAAAATTACACTCTCTTGATCTAATAAAATTATTTACTATATATCACATTTCTCTCCCATTTTCTAACCAGTAAAATACTTTCCAAAAAATCAACCTAAGTTGGTTCATCAAGCTTCCACCATGTATTTACTTTTCTAGTGAGGAAATACTATCTCACTATAACTAAGTCAAATCTTAAAAGTAATAAAATGGTTATTTATTTTTCATAAGTGAGTATTAATAATTATGAGACCATAATTTGTAGTAAAAGCTAAACTCATACCACCCTCTATGTTTCTTTTTTTCCTTATCCAAATTTATGTGCACTTCCTTAGGTTCACTAAAATTTTCTCCTAGGATGATCATTCAAGCCCCTTGCAATAATAAAATCTTTAATTTAAGACTTTTCTTAATAATTTTATTTGTTTTTAGTTTGACTATCCAAGTGATACGAGAGAATAAATGCTTATACCATTCAAAATATATTCTAATAATATAAAAATATTTTAATTATATCATCAACTTTTTTCACCTTTGTAATATTTTGTTCTTATAAATATTTGTTTTAACTTTTTTTCCAAAAAATAATCATATTAACAGTCCCTAGTTTTTTTTTTTATCCAATTAATCTCTTGCAATCAAGTTATGATACTCTCTTTCTAAAAAGTATTTATATATGTTATATTATCGGTCTAATCTTATAACCTTGAAGTAATGTGAGAATCTCATCGTGGATCACTTATCATTCTTTACACTTTGAGGTAATCACATGATTATATAGGTTGGTAAGGCAATCAATCACTTATCATTCTTCACACTTATCATTTATCATTCACTTATCATTCTTAATGCAATCACACGATCATGGAACAATCATATTGCTACGATCTTTCACACGATTATATAGGTTGTTAGTGGCTTAATTCATCTTTTATCTTTTTAGTATGGAAACATTATTATTATTATCATAGAATTTGATTGTTTGATTTGAATGTAGATTCAAAATCGATATTCATTATATATCTATTACAATCTTGACTGACACCATACTCGTCCGATCTTGAAGGTATCAAATACATTCGTTGCTAACGAGGTCAAATCCCATCGACTCTGGAGAGGTTGAACCCTATAGAACTGTATCGAGAATGTTGTTGATAAATATTCATCTAATGCTTAAGTTAATTTTGGGCTTGGAAGATTTGACTAGAAGTGTTCAAATTAAATTGAAAAATCAAATTAAATCCAAATAGAATTAATTCGATTTGAACCAATTCACCAATAATTTGATTTTGAAGGCTACAAATGATTTCAGTTTGAGAGGATATTCTTCTTTTATTCGTTTAGCCAACTCGAATCGAATCGAATTGATTTTAGTTTAAAAAAATCAACTCAATCTAAACTATGTGAGTTTATAGCTCTTCGTTCGTGAATGTTACTCGCTATCTCATCTCTCATGTATTTAATCATTTTTTTAATTTTTTATTAATTTGTATGTATCATTATACATCATCATCATTAAAAAATGTATTACATATGAAGTCATTATTTTTTTATAGTATCTTTTAATTAAAAAATAAAAAATCACTTGTGTATAATTTCATTTGCTTAGAATGTTTAGAATAATATTTAAAATATAAAGTTTTTAAGAATATATGTTAAATTGGATCCAAATTTTGGTTTGGTTCAATTAAACTGAACCAATTTAATGAACGCAATCAATTCATTATATATATATATATATATATTAAATTACTTAAATTTAAAAATCGATTAACTAGTTAATCAAATCAGATTAAATTTTGAATAGGTTCGAATCATTTTGAACACCCCTATATTTAATCCACTACTTAAATGGTATTGAGAAAAAGTGTATGGGAGAATTCTTTTATGTTTGATTGTTTGAAGGTGGATAATTGTTGCAGTGTCAATCATATATCCATCATATATCGATTATGTGCTGATCACATATTAGATATGTGTCAATAATCATGATAAACACATGCTACCTACATGATTATTACCCAACACTAATGTGTTGATCATTTTGATGTTGATGTGATAATCACTTATGATATGATATCCATATGGCATCGACATAACACCTATATGGTGGTGATAAGAGGCTACCGTATCATATGTGGTGGTATTATGACGGTGAGACGATGCTAATATATCATCCTCCACATGAGGTGACAATCACATCGATGTCATTTTTCTCATAATAATTATTAAAATTTAAATTTGACGATGTTATTTGGAGGAATATGTATATAATAATAATTCAATTTCAAAACATTCTAAAGGTATATATATATATATATATATATATATATATATATATATATATATATATATATATATATATATATATATATATATATATATATATATATATATATATATATATATATAT